TGAATTAAATCCACGCTCGGAGAACAGAGCCAGCAAAACATTTTGGCCAAATCAGACAGACGCCAATGGAGACATAACTTGGCCTGAATGGGCCAACGGAAATTGGTTCGCTGTGGTCTTCGCGACCCCTCCGTCTCACCTCACCGCCCATCCGCTTCGCATCCTTGTTTTGGTTATTTGTTCAAACAGATGTTGCAGTTATTTGTTTTTGCTGCTGCCATTTCTGTTATTTGTTTCACTGTGGTCGCTATTGGTGTGGCTTAGTTTTTGCGAGTGGCGCCTCCCCACTCCAACTGCCACAGAAGGTGGGCACAATTGCCGGGGCGTTATAGTCGCAAATACCTTCTGCGTTTTTGCTAAATAAGTAATTGTGAAATTTTTGTTGCAACTTTCTTGTTGTTGTTGCTGTTGCTGCTGCAGCAACAGTCGAGCTAAATTTGATACAATTTTAGTAAATGTAAATGTAAATTTCATGTTGCGTATTAAACCACAAAAACCTCAACAAAAAATTGCGCTGCGCTTTGAAAATGTACTCAGTAAACTAATATAGAGAAGCTGGCAACTTTGTGCAAATACAAATTGTAGCTTTGAGTTTTAACATTGTACAATTTTACTTCGGCATAAGTTCCACAATATTGAAATTTAAATACTGAAATTTCAACTTCTGTGAATTTAAATATTTTCTCGCTTAACATTAACCGAAACCATCAATGTGAACAATTGCCAAATTTTGTAGTGGTTTTGCGCTGTTTAGTACTAAATATTTGTGAACTATTCGTTGGTCAATTTAAGCAAAAGCCACAGCCTATTTATAAACATTTTCCAGAATTTGTAAAAATTGTGAAATGTTGTGGGTGGGTGAGTGGATTCATGAGCTGCATCCGCCTGTGGTGCACCACAAACGCTGTGGCAACAACGTCTCCGCCTACCTGCAATCCTCATTACCCCTTGCAGATCATCTGGCAAGTTTCGCCTATTTGGCTTTTTTGCTCTGCCAGTCAACAATTGATCAGGATGTCGAAATTTTTATTGTTATATATTGGTATAAGGGCAGTGCATTATTAAGAATAAATATATTAATAATGTTAATTGTTTGAAATTGAAATATGTTAATTAACACATATTGCTGTCTCTCCAGAGTAATCGAAGGATTTTGGATTTTGCTATTGAGCTGTGTCGAATTTCTTTCATTAGCAAATGAACGTTTCGTTGTAATGTAAAATAATAATAATATATATACATATATTATTTGAATAAATGTGCCACAAATCAGACACATGTACAACATATCCCCGCCACAGTCTCAGCTGGTAAACAGCGTGGAAACGTTTCTGAACTTTTGAGATAAGATGTTTCTTGAGAGGATTCGCTGAGGCAGTCAAGGATTTTTAATTGTTTTTGGGCGCGTTGAGTTTGCCAATTGACGCGTGTCTTGTCCCACACAAAGTGGCAAGGTGGAAGCGGCAAGGAGGGCAAAGGGTAATAGAGGACGTGGCAAATGTTACGCATCGATGACGAGCCACGCGTCGCCTTTTGAAGGGCGGCTAATTAGTGGCAAGCTGTTGCAAATTGTTTGCTAAATGGAAAATGAAGAATATATTATTTTGAAGCATCTGAGAATTGGAAAGATTTCCTTAATTCTCAGTTCACAAAAGCTGTTAAGGGAATAAAGCCTTTATATGTGTCGTCCCACAAAAAGCAGCTTTTATCGCATAACAAGGAGAAAAAGTGAATGCTTTTTGCTCAAAGGAAACAATCGCTGTCAAGTTTTCTTTCGCTGGCACTGTAAAAATTCAATTACTTTATTTTTTCCCACACACACACACACACACATGCACACATACACACGTTGGTATACTCATGTACTAGCGCCATCTGCCAGCCACAAAACAAACAAACACGCAGTGAGCATGTGAGGAAGAGAGAGGGACATAGAGAGAGAGATGCACTGCAATGCACGTGGATAGTGCATAGTGACGTCATATGTCAGCTCTACTAAGCACCAGGCATTTGGCAAACATATTCGCGCCCCCTTCCACCCCCCACCCACGTGCTTAAATTACATAGAAATTCTCACATTGGCGTGAAAAGGATGTGCGAGTGCCTGACACACACTAAAACACGGTTAGCTAAAAAGCACAGACGAAGAAGAAACTAGCGGTATAAAAAGCACACATATATATGTGTATGTGTGTGTGTGTGTGTGTAGACTCCATATGCACTCCGCACACATTTGTGCAACTTTCTTGCAAAAAAAGAACAAAAATTTAGCAGGCTTTCATTTCATTAGAGTGCATTATTTATTAGCCTTGTTAAAACGAGTATTTATTAAAAAGTTTTCACAAATATTTTTTTGTGAACAAAATATAATGAATGTTATTGCAAAACTCGATCGTTTTTTCTCCTGTTCTTGCATCTTTCTTGCCTTGTGCACATTCGCCTCCGTTTCTGCAGTTTTTTCGCTAGAGACAAATGCGTGCGTGCCTCAAAAAAAGAGACAGAAAGATACAGCAAGAGGGGCAAGGAGACACAGAGAGCATTGAGCTTGCTGTATGTGGGCGAGCTTTTCAGCTTTTAGTTAAATAGAAATTCATTTCGATTTGCTCTGCCTGACTGGGCGCACTCATACACACACACACTACACGCACACGTGTGTGCGTGTGTGTCTGTGTTTGCAGAACTCTCTGCTGATTGGCGAGGTATTTGTCGAGTGAGGTAAAAAACAAAAGGAAACAAAAGCGAAACGTCTTCGACAATCGTCGAAATTGAAAACTGAAAGAAACTCCCCTTCCACCTGAAGGAAATAACTTAGCTAATTGGTTGGGCTTTAGCGTAAGTATAATTTGGTATCACCAAACTTTTCAAACAAGTTTCGTAATTAACTAATTTATTAATATTGCTGAATTTAAAATTTAAATTCGATTTGCATGAACTAATTTAATAGGCAGAAAATTTACAAATTTACCTTATCTGAAAAGAAACATAGGAAAAGGAGCGAGAGAGAGAGAGAGAGAGAGAGAGAGAGAGGGCAGCAGTGGCAAAACGTAATTATGTTGCATTTATAATATGAAATAAACCTCCTGTTGCCTTTCATATTAATTACGCAACCAAACACAACACAAAGGCAAACAAAAAAATGGTGCCACAACAATAGCAACAACAACATGGGCAGTGGCAACGAAATAACCGCAACTACTTAGCAACATTATACACTTCCGTGCAGCTTCCCAAAAACCGGCCAAAACATAATTATTGTTGCGGTAAACGCCAGCCACGCCCTCACGCTCCCCACGGCACCACACCCGAAACCCTCCACCACAGATCGTGCTTTTTAATTTCTTCATAAAAATATACTCGCTGGGTGCGAAAGAGAGAATGAGAGAGAGAGAGAGAGAGAGAGGGCGCATATGACAACATGCCGCGAAAATTAATCCATTTGCTGTGACAATGACTTTTATGCGGTTTTGCAACAACGCGACAGTCATCCGGAGTACCACACACCCGGACACGGCTCAGTTGGCGGCCAGGAAGCCAAACAGTCGCAAAAAGTCAAGCCAAATGCGGGCATAGAACAAAAAAAAAAAGCCACAACCAAAAAAGAAAAGTTCTCTGCGGGCAAGTCGAATATTAAATACCCTTGGCAATATTTAATTTGTAATTTTTCAGTTACAAAACTGAACGGCGGTTCCTAAAGCACATGGTCCGATCTTGGTAATACTTTTACTAAAAAAAACTTCCTTCAACTGAAATATCCTTGGAAACAAAGAAATCCTCTCTGAAATCGACTGTCATGTTGGTGTTTAGTTGTTTTGATTTATGGACAGCCTAAAATAATTGTATATGTGAAAAATACTATTGTTTAATAATTGTAAGTAACAAAAATCTCACTTGGCAAATTAAACGTATTTTGTGTTTTAATGATGGAAAATTGTACCATGGAAATAAGAAAAGAAAGAACTTGTACTGTTATTTAGACACAATCTTCAGTTTTGAAAATATACATTCTGAAGTATGGATATTTTCTAAAATTTCGTTCAATTTGTTGGGTGTTTTAATGCTGATCAAGAATATATATGATTAATGCGTTACAAGCTGCACAGGTAAACTCTGATTCCCCCGGCAAGAGTATTAAAATTCAAGGGAAAAAAGACAGGTTAGGTTGCTTCACAATGCCGCGACATGTAAATATTTGGCAACATTTATAAAAAAGAAATATAAAAATAAAGTAAAATGCTTACCGGAGCGCTGCTTTGACTGGGTCCGGGTCCGGGTTCGGGTCCGTTGAGCCCTTATCAAAGCAATTATCTATAAGATGGCCGAGGCAAAAAAAATATATAAAAAAAATACTGCAAAGTATTTCGGCTGTCCGCAGTCTTTGTTTGAGCTGGAAAACGTAACGGAGACAAAGTACACAACATTTCTCTTGATTTTCTTCGACTTGGGCTTTTTTGTCGAAACCCAAATTGTCAATGTGATGGTCAATTTGTGGCCAAGGATGAACAAATGTATAGAAAGAGAGATGACAGAGGAAGAGAGATATAGAGATTGGTAAGCAAAAGAAAAAGGTGTAGAGCGAAGCCAGCTGATTAGATGGTACATTTTTGAGGTAAATGGGTGGATGTGATAAATATAAAGTATGATGAATAAATAACTTATCAAAATCAGATGTGACTTCAATGTTGAGTTTTGGCTGTTAAAATTTTCTAATTTCCATTTATGCAAGTTGCCAAAATATAATGTTTAAATGCGATTAAAAGAAAGAGATTGTTACTTGAGGGATATCCACTTCTAGATGTAGATCAGATCTCAGAAGCAGAGGTAACTCCCCTAATAATGAAATTTCCTTAAAGTAACAAATCTGTTAAAACAAGGAAAAAATAATAATTTGCGAATGCGAAAAGGCTTTTCGTGTTCCTTTTCAATTTGCGTAAATTAGAGCAAGCCTAATCTCAAATCCAACCCAAATCTTGAACGATATAAGAATAAAGTGCTTAACACAATTTTCAAAAAATATTTATAAATTCGTTATATTTTAGTGGCACACTTATTAGATATTTAAGTCAAACACTTTTTCACATTCTATTTACAACGCCACTCTTAAAAGAGAGAGGGGGTGAGATCTGACAGTTATCCAAAGATATTCTGCTTAATGCTGGCCCAAAAGCCTTGGCCACGTTTCGGCGTCAGCTCGTGCTCAATTTTCTTGTTGTACTGCTCCCTGAGCAGCGGATCGGAGGGTCCCCAATTCTTTTTGGGCCTGAAGGCGCCTCGTATCTTCTCGCCCAGCGTAGAGCCGGGCTCCCGAAAAACGGCGATCAGCATCCAGAAGGGCAGCTGTAAAATTCCAAACGCCGTGATGGTCCAGCCAACAGCTGTGTAATAAATAAGGAGAGATTAGGAACTATATAGATACGCAATATTATTCAGATACTAACCATAAGCCCAGGGCGGATAGGCTTGACTGTTGTAGGTGAGTGGCTCATAGCTGGCATAGAAGTATATCAGAATGATGGTCATGATAAGTGGCGTGAAGATGCCCCAGCAGAGCCGCCAGTAGAGACCCACTTTGCGGCCCAGCATGAACTCAATGTCCTTGCACAGGCGATCTGTGCCATAGATCCAGCCGATTGTATAAAGCTCTGCAATGCCCAAAACCAACGCAATCATCGAGGCGCCAAAGAAGTCCACCAAAGTGAGCATATATTGACCACCCTGAAGGAAATATAGAAAATATATATATGAAATATGAAGAATTCGTGTTGGATTGAAAGCCGATGCAATATAACAGTCTGTCTGAGATGCCAAATATACCAGAAGTATACCCTTAATTACACACCCAACAAAAGCACCAAAATCATAAGTCTCAAAAAAATATATTTCAACGAAAATCAAAACAAACTCAAAGAAAAAACTTGTAATTGTCATCAGCAAATGTACCCTAATCTCGCAAAATAAAATAGCAAACATAACAAAATAAATATTAAATATTAACAGAAACTCATTGAACACAGCTGATCTAGATAAAAATCTAAGCTCGAATATTATTGATACTGAATGTAGAAAAGCAAATTGGTTTTCTGTAATTTCCGTCATGCTGTCCATCCATCTGAATGAATGCAACTTAGAAACGTTTAACTTGGAAAATAATTGCGTCAGTGCCCGAAGTTAAAACTGAGAGAAGAAAAATCGAGCAAATCTCAGCTAAATTGAAATATTTCAAGTCGCGTCCACTGCCACCCTCAAAAATGGCAAAAGCCATCAGCAATTTGAGAGCTGAAGTTAATAACTTGGAAGGTCGATTTCTAGGAACCTTATTCTGCAAGTTTAGAGATTGAGTTACCAAATCTAAATGGCACATTAATCGTGGCACACCCACTCCCTTTCATGTGTACTTCGTCAGCTGATTTAAAGTTCTTACCGGTGTTATGTATATGAGGCCAATGCAGAAGCTAATGACTGCAATGAGCAGCGAACATTGCCATTGCTTAAAGTTGGGGAAGCGATCTCGTATGGCTGTCACTGTACAGGAGGACATCGCTATGTTGGATCCAATGCCCAGCACGAAGAGCATGAGAAAGAACAGCACCGAGAAGATCTGCGGCAAATGCTTAAACTTGGCTATCGCATCCGGATACGAGATGAACGCCAGTCCAGCGCCACCTTTCACCACCGTTCCAATGTCATCAGTGCCAATCTCATGCGCCAAGTGTCCCAAGATGCCAAAAATGGTGAAGCCCGCGAGCAGTGAAGTGACCGTGTCCATGGCGGTCACAATTGTCGCATCCCGATGCACATTGTGACCGAACTTGTTGAACGAGGAGTACATGATGATGTTGCCAAAGCACACGGATAGCGAGTAGAAGCATTGTGTGACTGCCGCATACCACACCTGCGGATCCAATATCTTGCCCCAGTTCGGTTTGATGAAATAGTAAATGCCATTAATGGAGCCCGGCAATGTGACGGCTCTCACCAGCAAGACTCCCATGATGATATACGGAAAGATGGCCAGGAAATACGATGCCTTGCCGGAGCTCTTAACGCCGCGACGTATGATGAGAAAGACGCACAGCCAGGCGACAAACAGGCCAATGACCAGCTCCCAGTTGGGCAGACCAATGCCATCAGCAATCTGCTCCTTCTCGTGCAGCACCTCCTTTCTGTGTGTATGTGTGTGAGTGTGAAAAAAGAGATGAGTCTGGGAAACAATGCCTAAGCCCAAAGAGAATTAAGTAGAATATTCTATTTGTTTCTCTTTAGCCTAAGCCCAAGCCAACACCTCTAAGATCTACGTTAACCCCACCAAGATATTAGTGTTAATTACTTTAAGTCCAGTTAATGCTTAACTTACTTATTACTATTATATTTGGGTAATGTTGTGCGGTTCAAGCTCAGAAAAAAGAGTACTGCACTTTAGAAATTGCTATAATTTTGGTTGTAGAGATTGGTTAGCTCGACTTATTGTTTAAAGAGTAAATATCCCAAACGGAAGGTTGTCTCTTCTAAAAATTAGGGATTTTCTATCTTATTTGCTAAGTACATTTCTCAAAAATTGAGACAAATATGTCTAATTTACAGTTCTTATATCCGTTTTATTTTAAGAAACTATTTTCTTAAAAACGAAAAACATTTCAAAATAAAGAAATGATTGTTTCGCACATCTCAAAATTATTTTTAAAAACCAGAAAATATTTATAGTTTTCAGGTCGATTTTGTAAATTTCAATCTGAATTTTTAAACATTGAAATTACTAAATTTCGATCGTAGATTTATTTTGGACTGTACAACCGTCAATTTTTTGCTGAGATTGACGTCAGAGCTATGTCGAATTTCTAAATTTCAAGATGATATATTTTTTCTGAGTGTATCTAGTTAAACGCTGTTCGCCTTACTAAGACCTCCTCCGCTGGTCTTTTTGCTAGCTAATCAGCTGACCCATTGCCAGCCATATGTGGAACTCATAAATAAATAAATTAAGGATAAATCCTTTATCTTTAACTTACACATAGTACAGTTCCGAGCTGGATATAACGCGATCTGATTCGTTACTTGTGCCAGCTATCAGGTTAGTATCGGGCGAAGAGTTGATGCAATTATCGCCCCATTCTGGGCGGCACGTTGCCCAGGGCAACGGATTGTAGAACGAGGCAACGAAATAGCGACAAAAGATCGCAACCAGGGAGGCATAGTACGTGCTTAACATGAACACCTGGAATGCCTGGCCAGCGCCAATACCTTGATGAATGTGGGGAAAGTTAATAACAGATTAGGTTGATGCCGAAACCAAATTATGAATTTATGTGAGATATGATGTGAGGTATGATGTGCAGTTAGTTGAATGTAAATGAATCAAAAACGAAAGTGCTCACAGAGCTCACAGGAGGCTTGTCAAAGTGTGCTTTCTGTTAATTAATCTGTAAACATGCTTGCAATCACCGTTTGCTTAGTAAGAAATTATGCTTAGAATATTCAAATCAAATCTAAATTAAAACTTTATAATAAAATATATATTATGTATATTAAAAAGCGTGATAAAAATAAGCACTTAAACCTATTAAATATGTTTTCCAAAATATTTATTTATTTTATTATTAAGACTATTGTTAAAAATGAATAACCAAATATGTCCACACACGAAAGGTAAAGAAAATATACCAAATTCGACATTTAGTAAATTTCTCTACTATTTGTTATAGCCCACAAAGGTTTCAGGGAAGAAAAAATGGGAATAGTAGGCCATCATTTAGCAATTACAAATATATATACCTGGATGGCTCAACTCGATTTCGTTCATAAAAACAAAACTGATTGTCGAGCAAATAACAAAAATTTCAATTTTGCTTGTGAGTTTTTTCCTTTATCAACTTAACTAAAGAGTCACTGGTTCCTAGCTCAAGATGAAATGTCCAGCGATGAACAAGAGTAAATGTGCAAGGAATCGCAAGTCGATGCGTGCAGTTCGAAACTGTCCAAAATTCAAGTGTCAAAGGCCCTTTCCCAAAACTGGTAACGGGTTTTTAAACTTTTTGCGGTCTTTTCGGCGCAAGAACTGCGGTCTCAGTCCCATCGAAATGATCCGCAAGTTCGGAGCTGCATGGAACGAGTTGCCCGAAAGCTACAAGGATCGTTATCGCCGTCAGGTAGGCAACCCAATCTACCCATTGAGAGACAATGAGAAATCTCAAATACAACACATTTTCCACTAGTTTTGCAAAATGACCAAAAACTGCCGCCACAAGCGTGGACTTGTCTGTCAAAATTAATATCTATCAAATAGCGTTCTTAAATGTGTTATCTGCTTTAGATTAGGACCAGCACCCAAAATAAATTATGACAAATTGAACGTTTTATAATGAAATTGTAGTATTAATTTTTAAAGAACTGATTTATTAATGTGAATGGTATTCCGCAGAAAAATGTATCGTGACTTGAAACTAATAATCAAATTTTAGTGTACGCTGATATTTCGATTTGTAAATATTTATTTTGAAATTGTCTCATTGATCTATTTAAAAATTTGTGAAAAGGGTATAATTGTTTTGTGCAAAAGTATGTAACGGGTAGAAGCGAGCATCTTCGACTCCAGAAGGTATATATATTTACGGACGGATCGATCTAGTCCATCTATATCTCTGAGATATCGAATATATGTGAATATCGATATATATCGATTTTCGATAGAAATAAAAGTCACAATTTTAAAGACAGGCTTTGACGTATTATGGATAAGCTGTAAGCTCATCAAAATCGAATAAGAAACACATCAGTTATAAGCGCATTATCATATTGATTTCATTACTATCAGCTGTGTGAAAATGTAAAGTTTAATTAGTTTACCATCAGCAAGCCAAGGTTTGAGAATAAAAACTTGCTCCGCCTTATTTGACGCTCCATTTATAGAAAATTGATAGCAATTGTTGAATTTCCTGATTATCTTGGGTTGATATTTGGCAATGCAACGTAGCTGAGGTTAGGGTATTTGCAAGTCGAGCTCCGGGGACGTTCGACTGGAGCATTCTAATTTGCTTATTGTGAAGGCACATGTTACGGTTAAGGTTCGCCCCTTGTGTTTTCCAACCCCACTGACAAATGATAATTGGACTGGCCTCGTCGGCTGCTGGCTGTTGCAATCACCTAGTGGCTATTGCAGCATCCCAAACTGATCGATCAATTGTTGTATATTTACATGCCACAGGGGAAGGGGAAGGGGAAGCGGGACTCATTCAATTAACGACGCCAGTCAATAAAGCGAGCGTTGAACGGCCATAAACTTGAATCTGACAGTGAATTCGAGTGGCTTTCGCCGTGATAAGATTAACCACAAACCCAAAAAAAAGAAAAATAAAACGAAAAATGAAGACCAATAGCCAAAAACAACAAACTACGTTTTGCAAATGCGTAGAAAATCCACTTACAGAAAATACAGCTCAGCGGATGCGACGGGCTTCTGCTGCAGCGACTCCAAATTTAAACTGGCAGTGGTATTAGTGGTGCTAGTGTTGCCCGGACTGGAGGCCACACACTGTGGACCCCACTCGGAACGGCACTGGGACCAGGGCAGTGGATTGCGAAACGAATCGTAAAAAAAACGCAATGTCATACCCATAATTCCTACGTAGTATGTCGTCACAAGCGATATCGCGATCACCTGTCCGATGCCGGCGCCTGCAGATGTGGATGAGCAGATGGATATATGATATACACACACATGTGAATGGTATTACACAGAGAGATAAAGAGTGCATTCTTAAGATCTAAATTCTGGTCGGGTATTCATTAATAAAGAATTTTAATCTCATATATATTCTATATATTTATATACTATCTTGCTTTGCTTACTTTTGTTTTGAACAGATAATTATTTAAAATAATTTTGGTCAACTGTTAACCTTGAGCTTTTTTTCTCTGCGTAGATGATTAACTAAAATAATTATATAGCTTTGAATTTCTATAATGAATTCTGATCTTTTTTATTTTCTGGTACTTGGACATTTTTTCCCCAATCGATAGTTTTTAATCATTCTCTTATTAATAATTTGAATTTCTATGTATTGTAGAAATAATTTTGTATAACTGTGCATTTCTTTAATTTTTTTTTATTTGTATTCACTGCAAGTTTGTATTTTGATCAATATCATTGTGGTTTTCTTACATTGAAAATCGTAATACTCAAGAGAGAATAGAAAGTCATATAATGTTTCAAAGTGTGATGGTGAAAAAATGCACTTGGACATAATTTGTATACACTTGCAGTTGGCTTGAGAATGACTTGCTGTGAAAATTTGTTAACGAAAACCTCAACCTTTTTCATCGTAATCACTACACAAAGGCTGATGTGTGCACATATATTTTTTATACTTCTTTTAAGTTCAAAAAGCAGTTTCAATAAGAATTATGGTAGCATAAAATAAATGTGTTCAAGTTTCATTATATTTTATATATTTGTAGATAGTCATACAATCCAACTGCAAGTGCATCACAGCTTCGATTTGACCAAATTAGGCCATGTATAGTAACAGAAAGTATCGCTTACCTTTCATGGCTGGGCACAAATCGAATACCTTAACGGAGCCACGACTTGAAAACTGGCCAATTACCATTTCCAGATAGTAAATCGGTTTACCAATTAGGAACAGCACAATGAGATATGGTATTAGAAAAGCGCCGCCTCCATTGTCCAGTGCGGTGAACGGAAAGCGCCACACATTGCCCAATCCCACAGACATTGCAATGCAGGACATTAGAAACTCGATGCCCTTGCCCCATGTGGCACGTTCCCCGCGTACCGCTGCAGATTTGCTAACCACCTGATCCCGATCCTGCTCCTGGTCAGCATCTGCCTGTGCGTGCGTCTCTCCTGCCAGCGACTAAATGTGCGTGGGTGTGTGCAAGCGATTAGTTAAGGTCACAGGCTTGCCGACCAGAGATTTTGGCCACTTACCGACATGGCCAACGTGCTGGCTGTGCTGTGTCCATCGTCGCCCACAAATGCGGGATTCTCTTGCAGTGTTTTCATATTTGTGTACTATCAAAAAATTGCTAGGAATCAGAGATAGAGACAGAGAAAGAGAAAGAGAGGCAGAGAGATAGAGAGCTCTGTTAGCTGCGGACTGACACTTATCACTGGCTGGCATTTTTGGGCCAGATTTTCAGCGGAATTGTACAATTGTACGCTGTAAAACTGACAATCAGATAAGCCACGAGCCACAGTGCTCACAATCAACTAAAAATGCTGTAATGAACTGAGCTCGACTACGAGATGCTGTGCACCCAGTTGTTAAATATATTATTCAAATTGTATACCCAATACACTTTTTACTTGCGTATTTCTTATCTAATCTTAATAAAATTGATACATTCCATAAACAATATGTCAAAGTATATATTATATATTGGATTGGAAGGCTCCGTCTAAGTTGACATGGCTTTATCGAGTCGTCTGTTAATACTAATCAAGAATATACAATGACTTTAAATAAGCATAATATATACTCAAACCAACTTTCGTAAACACAGACAAATATTAAATATTCTTTGCTCCAATTCACATCGTAAACGATGTATTCTCAAAATCCAAATCAAATAAGAATTTAAAGATGGCATATTTACAGCTCAGATTCAGCGGAGCTCAACGAGTTAATGCTTAATAAATCTGTTATTGAGTCATTATCTCAGCTGTTGCTTTTCGTCTCTGATATATAAACAAATTTTTAAATTTTGGTATGTAAATAATTTTATTAAATTTTAATGGAAACGCCTTAGCCCAATTCTTTTTCAAGGAAAGTGAATTGAAATTATGCAACTGTCACGAGCTAGATTATTAAATGTGATTATTGTCAAGCCATAATGCAGAGATAAAGGGCGAATCAGACTCAAATGTGTTTTCTTATTTGCAAGTCACTAGAAATGCAACAGTTTATGATCAGCATAAAGATCTCTTGCTAAAATAACTAAAATATATTATTATGTGTGCTTAGGAGAGATAATGCATTGTAAAATTGTTTTAAAAAAGAATAAGATAAACTTTATGCAAACGATTGCTTTGAAAATAGAAGATTTACTGAAAAGTAATGAAAATATTGTTAAAAATATTTCTCCAAAAGCATCTTTTAATATTTTAATGTTAATTGATTTTTGGTCCTTAATACTTATTATTCACGTTTAGTAATTTTTTGTCTGATTGCTTTCGCAATCTTTTCATGAATGTTGGAAAATTTTATATTTTGAAAATTCAGTTTTATTTGCACCTTTATTTAATTTTGTATATTTAGTTTTTTTTTTATATTGTTCTTTCAATTGTACTACACATTAAATAAACAAATAATCTATATCTATGAAAAATGCGGCACTCACAAAGAGTACAAAATGCACTTGACTGATATGCAAAGATCATAAAAAGCAAAGAACTCAAATTATTGGCCTATTAAAACGCAGTCAAGTGCTTAATCTAATTCTTAAAAATGTCAAATGAAATATACTGCATTCGTCAGAGGCTAATAATCGCTTACTCGCTGATACGAGCTCTTTAATTTTTTTGTTGATTTAATGATATACCATTTATATCTCGTTTTTTTATAAATAGCTTTTACTATTTGTATTTGTCGGGGGTTAACAACTTTAAGACATGTGCGAATCCTAACACTGCACTCTATGAATCGAGAATAAAGTTGATTCGGTTATTGACCTCATTTGAATAAATGGACATATATGATATAAATTATAATATGCATATAGCTGATATTTCTACACAGATGTTCAGATTCACATGCCATTAAGTATAAATGTTCTTCACCTGAGTCAATATATTGATTTCCAACCTGTGCAAACTTTTGCCCAGTCTTAGAAAAAGATTGATAAACAAATACTATGAATAATCGTTCAAAAATAGTTCATAACATAGTAATAAAAAAAGGGCTATAAAATATTTTTTTTCCACATTTATGGGTTAGTTAACATGGGTAGTTGAGGGTAGTTGTCAAGTTCAAACTGTACCAAGGCCGAAGCTTGATAACAAAGTTCACTCTGTTATCACACATATGTAATTATGTATGTTTCGGTAGCTACTGATATCAAGTGTGGCCAAGATAACCAAGTTTTTATTGAGCCCTACTTGAAAGATATGGTGGTACATGAAATTTCTTACAACCTAATTATGTGAACAACGACTGACATTTCCAGGCGACAAAAAAACTAGCTCACAGTCGAGATGCGAATTCTTTAGACAATTATAACTAAATTATGGTGGAGTCAATGCACCCAAAAATTGTTGAATAATACAAAAATAATAACTTAACAAGCCAACAATAAAAACAAGGGAAAATAAATAGGACAGGCACTGTCTGCAACCAACTTACAAATTTCTCACAAATTCCCCAACATTAAAAGAAAAAAAAAGCGTTAAGAACAAAGAAATAAAAAAATTACCCAAATAAACCAGATGATGTGGTTGTGTACTGCGAAAAAAACAGGTTTCTTAATTCTGTGTAAAAATTATTGTGTTCAATGGAGAGAAGAGCAAACAGAATAAAAGAATTTTAATCAACTTCAGTTGGGATGAGTCAGCTACACAAATATTATATTAAATGATGTGGGATTTCACAGATAATGAAGTATGCTTCAAACGATTTTTTTAACTGACGTCAGATTTGTCATCTAAAATCAGTTAAGACCGGACCTAGCTAGTTTCAAGCTCAAGAGTTGAAAGTTGTTCGGGCAACTTTTGAAAATGATGCAGAAAAGTAGAATGTTTTTGTACAAATTTTCTTCAAAGAAATGTTTATTTCTTGTGCTGATTATGATTTCTAGAATATTTATGACGAATAAATATGTAATAATACTAAGTGTGGAAAGTGGTTAGAAAATAGATTCTTAACAAAAAAGATGGTTAAATATTTTTGAAACATTTTAGAAATTAATTTGCTACTTTTGATAAAAGAATTTATTCTTCTGGATTGGAAAATCTGAGATTCGAAACGCAAAAAATAAAAAAAATATTAATTCTAGAACAAAGGAACAAGGCAACGAATATATTTATTGCTTTGTCATTTTGTTAGCCGATTTGTAATTGAATCAATTATTCATTAATGCGTTTTGCTTGTTATTCTCTAAGTGCAATAATTATTATTATTATTGATTTTGATAAAGTTCATCATTTTATTTTCATGCCAATCACATTATCAAAGATAATATGTATTTGTTGCTATGCTCATTTGGTAAACGGACGCTGGTTGATTTGAAAGAATGTCCGCAGCAACGCATTAGTATGCAAAAACGTGTTTCTCGGCGTGCTTGTTACGCACGTCGCCACAAACAGATCGCCCAAAGAAACCGTACAAATACAAAGCATAATATTAATGCTTGTGATGTCTACATTGCGTATACGTCACCATTCAACGAGATAATAACAAGCGACAAAAACTCAGAAACCAAAAACAGACATAAAAACAAAACAAAATTATACTACTCTTAATCAATGCCATTGCCAAGAAAAGAGGGTTTGCTGAATTATATATTCGATTTGAAATGAAGCCATTTACTGAATTGCATTTCCACTTTGCAGACTCTATGAGAAACATCAAAAAATTGTGCCATATATTTAAATTTTATTTTTTAAATCTAAATGAAATCATTATTTGTATATTAACTGATTATTACTCATGGTATTATCTAAAAATAACCCAATCTACTGCTTCGATCAATTAATTCTATCAGTTCTTCTTTTCTGTGAATAGCTACTCATTAATCTTATCTTTGCATCTAAGAATTTCGAACTCACAAAGCCCATAAGTGTGGAAAACCCAAAAAAAAAATTATTACGCCTAAGGCATTCTACATTATGTAGGCTGTTCAAATGTAATACCTTAAGTATATTATAATATGTGATTAGTAATTCAGAGAACCCAATTATAAACCATAAACAATTTATTTGGTGTATAAATCTGGCAAGTTCAAGGGTGTAGCCAGCTATTTGTTAAGAGGGTCCAAATTGTATTTCATCATAAAATTTAATCTAAGCCATGGCTCTGTCAAGTTAAGAAGGGCACGTGCTCCGCTGTGTACTACCTTGATCAGGTTTATTAACTTACATACAAAATATAAATACAATATGCGCTTTGGTCTTTTATAATAAAAAATACTTTGTATTCCAGCTGCTTAAATATGCACATAAATTAAATAAAATCACAAAGTGCAATTAAATAATGCAAACAAATAAATTTAAATTTCTAAAGCACCTCGAAATTAATAAAAATGTTTTTTTTTTTTAAATAATTTTGTGCGTCATTTAAAGAGGTTAAAAAACTTGTATACTTTTCAACTTTGTTGTTTTAAAAAGCAAATATTTTTGAAATAATCATAAACCTACATTTTTGGTACATTTGTCATATTTCTTATGCTCTAAAAATGTCACTCATTTAGAAACGATTTTTAATCATCACAAGCTTAAATTAAATAAATATATATATTTTGTATTTCTTAGACCCCAAATATATCATTCATTTTGGCGTTCAGTTTCACGAGCTCTATTAGCCCTCTAACATTATCTGTCGCTATTGACAGATCACAAATTGTGCACAGTCATTTGTTGTTAACCTTCGTTGGGCTTTTCTGCTGCAACTGGCAGCGCTGTCCCTTGCGTCCACACCACCCACCTCTCTCTATCTCTCTCTCTCTCTCCCTCTGTCAGTCAGGCGTTTGCGCAGCTGTTGCTGCAATGGACCGTTGGCAACATGCTGGGCTTTTTACCTGTTCATTAACTGTTAACTGTTGTTTTCGTAATACTTTGTGCCACAGCTGATAAAAGCTTCCGCTGCTTCTTCAACTCTGCTCTGGGCTTATGGTGATTTACAACTGATGTTGTTGTTGCTGTTGTTGTTGATGTAATAAGGAAAAAACCACATGCAATTTGAGGGCTGATCTCTTAATTCTTTTTAAAGATCTCTTTCATTGCACAAATTCACTTAACACTTTATGCATTAAATTATTCTGCTTCCGCTCAACAATTTTAACGAAATAAAAACACGTTATATTATTGTTATGACGTTTACGGTACGACTACAATGGCAAATGCTGTTAACTGAACGAAGCGACGACGATCGCTTGAACAAAGCGCCAGCAGCCAACTGATCGGAGCCAAGGCAGCTCGCAGGGTTTTATGGCGAACTTGGCTGAAGCGGCGCACAGTGGGATTCATGCCACTTATCTCAAATGGTTTAAAAATGTTTATTTGTTATATTTTGAGAAATATTCTTGAGGTTGGACTCCATCTGGCTTTTTATTACATTCAGCTGACTAATATTCGAATCCTTATAAACTTTTCCTCTTTAGTCGAATAACCATTTCTAGAATACAAAGTTCATTCTAATATACACTGGAAATATGGAATTTATTTTTTAATTTATTAATATTTATTGAATAAATCCATAATAGCTATCATAATATTTACAATTAATTTTGTTCAATTCCACTGCTGCTTAAGCCCATAGTCGACAGCTGTTTTTTATTTTTGGGTGGCTCAAAGACTCCAAATATAGGTGAAAGCTTTTCTCACGGCTTGACAACTTCATGGGTGCGTGTCACTGATAAATGGATCGTAACAATGATGGTTGGAGAGTAATTGTGTATTTGAATAAGCTCGAGTGCGTGTCTCGGCTAACTGATCTTATACTCCACAGTTTGAAAGTAACAGTTCAACTAATTATTCAAATAGAGAAGAAAAGAAATTTAAATTTTTATGCTCGATTTAAGAGTAACTAAAAGTGATTAGATAATAAACTCACAAAGTAAGTAACAAACTTACTAAGAAAAATGAAAAGTTTTCTAGCTTTTGTTCTTGTCAAGATTTTTAGATTACATACGAAAAATATTAACAAAATGATCTCACCATGAATTTGTTTTTGAGTTTTTTGTTTCTCTTTACCAGTTTTAAAAGTGTCATGTTAGCACTCTTAATTTAAAAAATGATTTTAGTAAAACGAAAAACACTTTTAATGAGATTTCTAATTTTTTGTGTGAGTCTTTATTTAAACTGTTCCCAGATATTCCAAAGAACCTAACTTAACTGAAACTTGTATTTAACAGCAAAATCTATTTTTTCTTTTTTTTTGGTATTTGTGTCACAAGTTTACTCAACTTAAATGAAGCCTTGGTATTTGTTTCTTTTCGCTCTGCGACTCCGACTTGGACTCGGTTACTGCAGAAGTTGCACTTACAACTTGCTCAGAGAAAATTCCAGGGAACCTCTCGCCCATGTGGCACACTTGGTCCATTGTTTCTGGACCGCAGTAAAACACAAATTGTTATGATAAAACTTTTTATCAAGTTTTTGTTATATTTTGTGAGTTTTTTTTTGTTTTTCTTCTCTTTTTTTAGCTTGTGTGCTTGCCGTCGTCAGGCGACGTATTCTAAACCCCGTTGATAAACCATATAAAATACGACAAAGACAGAAAGAGAGAGGGAGAGAGAGAGAGGGAGAAAGGGAGAGAGGGAGATAGTCAAGTAACTGGGCCAAATGTAAAAACAATGCCTTTGGGGGCGGCACTGCCTCATAAAATTTTAACTACTTGCAAAAATACTGCTAACTGGTAAACTTTAAGCCAAAAATCATTAAGTCTGCAGCCTGGACAGGACAGCCACTAAAAGAGTTTCCACTTCCAAGACGCTGTGCGAAAAATGGAAAATGTCGAAATCCAGAGAGAGAGAGAGAGAGAGAGACAGAGAGAAAGAGAGAGACAGAGAGACCAAGGCTGAGAATCTTGACTTTAGCCTTGCTTGTTTTATGCCAACAATTTTGTTGCATGACCATTATGTGGTTCCTACGGGCGGGATTGACTTTCATCCACATCCTCAGTCTTGGACTCAACTACTCCCCTCCTCGCTCTTCCCCTTTTTGGCAAGCTGTGGTGTTTGGCATTGCCATTATGACTGTCACTGGACCTTGGGGACACACTATCAACATTGAGTGGAGGTTAGATGGAAGTGGGAGAGGGAAGAGGGGAGAGGTGCGGCTGTCACAACTTTTTAATTGCAATTAAAAGCCAAGCTAAAGACTTTTTGCCAACCAGCAGAAATCTACAATTTATTTATAATATATATAAAATTATATAATACTAACCGTTAACCCAGTTGCCAAGAGCGAAAAGGAAATTGATGGGAATACAGTTTAAATATATATAAAATTAAATTAAGTAATACAATTGTCTGTTTATTACTTATGGCTATTTTTATTTATTATCTTTTCAAGCAGAGAATAAAGAATTCTAAATACAAATCGAGCTTTCAGTAAATCATTTATATGTCTACGAATATATATCATTATTTAGGAATTTCAGTAAGTTAAGATCTGCAAACTCAAATCAATAATAAATTACTAAAATAAAAATGAAAATAAAAATATACAAATAGTCAGTTAAGATTCAAGATAGCAAAAAAGACTAGCAAATATGAATGTTAATTTAAAAATATATTTATGAAAAACAAACTTGAAAACTTTAAATAAATTATTATTTGCGATAGAATGGAAAATTCGAAACTCAATTTTTATATATGTACCCTATTTCAAATCAAGATTGTATTTATAGAAATGGGAATGGAAACTAGAAACAAGAAGATAACTATCTTATTTTAGGCTTGTCCATTCTGGAACGGACTAAATGCAATTTTTTCTGACTCAACTCAACTATTTATAAATATAAACTTAAATATTCAAAAGCTAGCCAATTTTATAACAAGAACTGCAAAACAAAATGCCTGATTTTTTTTATCAATGCTCTTCACACACATTTTTTACACAATTTTAAATGGCTTGAGTGAATTTGAGTATTTCTATTGTCTCAAACATTTACATGGAATTGATGTCAAGCTGGTCTCATCTGCTAAGTCTATGCGGGATTACCTACCATGGCAGCCGAGCCAAAAGCATTTTATGGCTATCCATAGCCATTTGGCTAAATCCTTAAGCCTTGCCAAAAAAAAAAATTCACTTAAATTTTTGCCAACACACATTTAAATGTACTTCTGACCAAATGCCCACTCTCTCTCTCTCTCTCTCTCTCTCTCGATATATATATATATTATTAACTATTTATCTCAGTCTCTCTCTGTCTTTCTCTGTGTCAGTTTACATCCCCCAAACTCCCAGTTACAATTCAAATTTTCTTGCAGGCAGCTGCAACTGCAGTTTTTAGCCTCAAAAGCGGATCCCATTCAGTAGTTTTGGCCTTTGTGGTGTCGACGGGGGTACAAATAGTGAAGAAACCGAAGACAAAAACAAAAAACAACAAAAAAAAAAATAGTAAAAATAATTTTTGTCTTTTGAGGCTACTCACATGTTATGTGTAGGTAATCTCCTTTATTACTGCGGCAACTTTTTGTGGGACATAGCGACATAAAACAGGATTTCGGGGCTGAGATTTTTTGGCTCGAAGGAATGGAGTGGAAGCGAGGATGAGGGGGGCTTGGGGGTCGGAGGTTTTGTCTCGGGGCATTTACAACTTTTGCATAACATGCTACGAGCGGAGAGACAAACTGTGAGCATTACGTAAATGTTTATTTTGCGGCGAAGCCACAAGTCATAAAACAAAGTTTTTGCCCCAAAATTATATTGTGGATGTCGTCTCTCTGGCAAGAGATGCGCTAATTGAAAATGACTTTGGGCCATAAAATGTGCATTTGGCTAATGAAAATGCTACAGCAGCTTAATTGGCCCAATTGAGGCACTTGCCCTAAAGTAACTAGCCGTTTCATTCAGCTAATTGAAGACAACTTGATAACCCAAACTATGCCAAATGAGACTCGAGATATTCTCAACTTTTGTCAAAGCAAAGAGAAAATCTCATAATGCCTAATAGATTATTTTTAAAACATCGGGCCAACTTTATATTTCGCTTCTTTTTACCCTTTCCTGGTTATTTTCCACTTTTCCATTTGTTTTTAATTGCCCTACGACACTTGCTTTTAATGGAATAGCAGCGTCTGAGTTTTATGAGAAGATTGAAATAATATTTTATGGAATACATATTAAAAATATTTATATTTAATTTGTGTACTCCTTTAAATTATGAAAACATCTTAGAGTTCTGGTAAAAACCTATAAAAATAAAAATAAAGCGAAAGCATCATTTGCAAGTTTCAATGTAATCGATTGCTTATTGTAAATCTAAAGTGAAGTAATAAAATATTATAATATAATATATATATTATTTAATTAGCAAACGAAATGTTCGTTGAGTTTAGAAATAGTAGAGAATAGACTAGAAATAAAAACATATTTACAAGACTTTAGCATATATCATTTGCAAAAACTTCGGAGCAGAAAAGCCAGAATATTATATTAATCTAATATATTTTTGATTTATATTAAATATTAAAATAATATATACATTCATAAAGGTAGCGAGCCAAAGAAACGTTCGCAGATGGTTTTTTCATAGCTGGATGCTTAGTCTCAATTTCATCTTTGGGATCGGTTCATGAAAACAATACTTGAACCAAAGTTTTTATTCGAGCCGTGACTCATCTAATTTTCATAATTTTTAAATCATTGGATTTATAAGCTTGAAACATTTCTACAAATGTTTGTATAACTTTATTAAAGTAAAGATTAAGAAAAGAATCGGCTTATATGAAGCTCTATTAATCCATATTTTGACAACTTTTTTGGTTTACTGGTTTCCAAAAACTCGTTTGCAACCTTGGTGGTAAAAGATTTTATTTTTTTGTTATACACTCCCTAAAAAGTACACGACCTATTGATCCATACCCTTGACATAGCCTCTAGATGTGAAGCAGAGGAAGCCAGGCTCGTTGTCCTTGGCTCTGACCTTGCATTAGTCAAGTCGGTTGAGCTGAGCAACTCAGTGCTGAAAGTTATCAATGGCGAACCGCAGCAGAGCCTGCAGCATTTTAAGCCCAAGTAGCTGCGAAAGTTGATGCCACTTTTCTGGCTTGTTTGCGACAATTGTTGCGGCGTGGCTGCGAAAACATGGATAACACGAAAAGCGGAAAAAGCATGGCAGGCATTTAGTCCATTCGTGCGAGGCAACTGCAACAGCACTCAACGGGAGCAGAGCGGCACGTGACCAAGA